CCAAGGTCAAAGGTGTTTGTCACATGCACGTGCAGACCGAATCTGAGACCTTCTTGGTCTGCAGGCTAATGGTTACAGCCTCCCCTTTCGTCAAGATAATGCTGCTGTGATGTTAAGAATGCGCGGTGCTTTACTTCCACTCCCCCATACGCCTTCATTATGTGGCCTTGGTCTCTTATATGGGCGAGAAACTTGTTCCCTTTCTCTGGGGGAAGAGCTTACTTAGATTGAGGGTGTTTGAAAACAAAGTGTAAAGGAAATATTAGGACATAATGTAAAGAAAGTGGAATTTTAAGTTCTCACGGTGACGATGATGACGAGTTGTTCTTCTGGCATGTGACTCCGTCTAGACTCGTAGGTTGATACCGACATTTCAGAGAAACATACGAAGCCTTCTTGGCGAGAAGTGAAGATATACATATATATGGCTAGGCTAGCTAGGCAGTTTGTTTCTCTGACACAACGTAGTCGTAAGACAAGTGACATTGGGAACGTGGGCGTTGCGTAATGATTCGATTCACAGCCTGCGTTCTTCACCTACTCTAGTTACAGTGAATTAAACCAAGAAGGATGAGCGGAAAGTATACTAGTCAGGGGAACAAAACATTGTACAATATTTTGAATAATTGTATGGGGAGAAAACAGTTGTGGGGTTCGGGCTTACTTAATAAAATGCGTCTTAATAAAAGTAGGTTGCGAACTTTTCGGCTGTATTGAATTAGAGTTCCCAAAAAAATACCAAAATCTAGTGCTGAACGTACGAGGGAATACAGAAATAGTAAGAAGCAAATATTATTAAATAATGAACTTAAAGTTTCCGAATAGTTAGAATAAAGCCAATGTATAAAATTCCTTACCGTATAGACGTATTTACGTCAAATTCTCCGGAACTGTGGTTCCACTGACACTTTTTATCAGAGTTAATATAAAGTTTTATGAGGGTAAAATGCCACCCATAAGCAAATTTTATAAAAGTAGGAATTGAGGTTTACACGGCGGTGAATGCGAACATGACTGTCTTCTGGGATGTAGCGCCTTGTAGTCTGGTAGAAGTTTACCAACTAAATTTTATAAAATTTAGTTAAATAGTTTTGTAGAGGAGACATGTTAACAGCCGCAGTGACTGAAAAACATGGTTTCTTCATTATTCTTTAATTTCATACAACTAGAACGCATACAAATCGGAATTGGCGTTTAGGTGTTGTGTGTGTTCAGTGTTTAAATGGTTGTGTTTAGTGTTTCAAAAAGGTAAGTTAGCCTACATAAAGAATGAATTGCCTGGTATGTCGAAACTGCCGAAATACGTGTTTGTTACATTTGGTCGTGTATTTCTCTGCCTCGGCTGCCTTTACGTGCTTCCGCCCAATTGGAGTCGCTGTTTACAATACACAAGTATTTCTAAGGGCGGATGTCCAGCTTTTAATACCCACCCTTTGTCTCAGATTTGTTAGGGTGGGAGTTCAATTGTATTTTAAATGAATACCCACCCTTATAGCCAAAGGGCAATGAATTAGCATTCCGTTGGTATCTCCGCCCATAATTATAATAACTGTTAATCCAATGTACATGATTGTATTCATGACATCTTTAAAATACGAGAAGTTTAGTGGGCTTCGTTCAGTACTATGGATTTCCACTACATCCCGGCTGTGACGCTAAAGTACTCCATTCTCCATTGATTAATTAACTGTCTGATTAATTCACTGCCTTCGTATTGGTCGGTTAACTGCATGGTACAGAGTATTTCTTGAAATATAATTGTTACTACTCTGATTAAGAAATATCAGTGACATATTACCGTGTTCACAAAATGCTATTATTTGACCCGATCTCAATTCTTTAAAGCACTGTGGTAACTGTGTATCACCTTCTTCAGCATTTAATAACTGCATGTAGCCCAGACGCTGTATTCCTGAGTTTTGCATGAATCTCGTAATAAACACTGACCAATTCCATAAACAGCATTAGCCGATTGGAGACGCGTTTTTTATGGGTGGGTAGGAATTTCATTTTTAAATATTATTTAGGTTGGCATTGTGCTTGAAAGGTTAACCTGCTATAGTTTCCTCCTCGCCCTTTACAACCTGTTTTCATAAAATGCGTTTTAATTATGACGTTGTCGCACGTATGTCTAGAACACTAGAGGTTACTTGTGTTGAGGTTTCCGGATCACAATTTTACAGTCATTTCTTCATAACCCGTCCATCTCATCTAATATGATCTTATCGCCCAAAGGAAACCATAACAGAACAAATTATGACCTCCTTCTTGTGTAATTTTCTTTACGACATGCAGTTATGTTGAGCTGAAAATGAGGATTCCATTCGCTTTAAATCTTTTGCTTCAAAACAAGCTGTGACGACTCATAGCACTGTTTCGGCTAATTCAGTTTATAAACCTGTTGTTCTAACAGTTCATTAATTTTTGTTTCTTTAGCATGGAAAATCGGTTATCGAATTATCTTGTGTTCTTTTTACTTGTAATTTTCCATCCAGATATAAAATTGTGACCTTGGGGTTCATATGCATATTTCTAGACCCACTTTATTTTCATTCTTCATCTCCTTCACGCCATGTGTTCTTGTATCATCTGTATTCATCTATTGTTCATTCTTCCTGTCCTGTAATTTTAGCCATGTGCGGCCCAGTGACATACCAGTATTCGACGCATTATGTAGATCAGGTGTTTGTAGATAAAAACATTATTCATTGTTTATACATATCAACTTTGTATTATCGTACTCGCATGTTTGGTTTACGTTTGTGGTTAGCTTTAAGAAGTCAGTTTTAGCGTACGCAGTCGATTTAGTATCATAAAACTTACACATTGAAGGATTTGAGGTTCTCTAGCAGCGAGAGTGAAGATAGTCGTCTTCTGGAATACTGTGCCGTGTAGTCTGGGAGAAGTTTACCGACATTTAAAAGTACTTTCTACCTCCATCAACAGGGCAGTATTGACTCATATTCCTAAAGATGAATGCAGCAAACACCTGTGAAATGCCAGTGAAGTTCTACAGGACTAGGCGCTGCAACTCAGAAGACAAGCCACCTTCAAACTTAGATTTGGATGTAATCTCTTCACAACAAACACCAAGCGCTTGAAACAGGAAGTGATGTAAGCGTACAGCTGGCGTCGTAATTAGGAATCTCATTGTATCTGTATGAGGCTTTCTTACACCTTCCATTAGCTACAATGATTTATGCCAGATGTCTCTTTAATAAAGACCAGTGTATCTGCCTAATTTGAAGAATAACATGAATTAATATATATTATAGGCTTCAAGTTTTATATATTCCGTTCATTCACATTAGATCAATGTGGGTGAGTAACACAACCGTACCTTGACATTTTCTGCATATGTTTTCTTGAAATATGTTAGAAAGTGGTTAAAGTTGTAACAATGTACACCTCGCGTTTTATGCGTCCCGCATGAACTTATAAGTGAAGGAGAAATTTAAAGACGCAAAAAATAATCTCATGACTTGCAGTCTTTATTTAATAACTTCAGAATTATTACACATAAGGTGATGAAATGGACAGGGCATGTGAGTCGAAATAAGAAGGTGAAAAATTCATACCGGCACAAGATTATGGGTGCAGAACGTGATAGGAATAACAATTTCGGATACATAGTCATCTGTGTAAAATGTGATAGTGGAACCACGGTTCCGTAGAATTTGACGTAAATACGTCTATACGGAAAGGAAGTTTATATATTGGCTTTATTCTAAATATTTCCTTTATACATGCTTTACAATTGAGATAAATTTGATTAAGACATTGCTTAATCAACTTGAATTAGTTACGCTTAAGATGGGTCTGTGGTAGCTGAATGAAATGGAAAGGAATGTAATGTAATGTTTTATAGGCAACAACAATGCCGAGTAAACAGATGACGTTTCCTAGGTAACAATAATGACGAGTAAACAGATGACGTTTCCTAGGTAACAATAATGACGAGTAAACAGATGACGTTTCCTAGGTAACAATAATGACGAGTAAACAGATGACGTTTCCTAGGTAACAATAATGACGAGTAAACAGATGACGTTTCCTAGGTAACAACAATGCTGAGTAAACAGATGAGGTTTCCTAGCGACCATAACAATGAAGTTACACTTTTTCGGAACACTATTTTGCCGAATGACCCTTCCTCATAGACGTATTTACGTCAAAATGATGTTAAAATGGAACTTGGTGGAGTAGGATGTAAGATGTACTTTGATGAGCTTTTGGGATGAAATTTTGAATTTCATAACTGGAGTAATGTGATTATCTACTTAATTATAAAATTTAAGAAGCTATCCGTGCCATACAGTCGTGTTTATTATTCGCTTGTTGCCTTCTCCTTTTCTTTATTGCAGTAACTTACATTTAAGCCTATTATTCTTAACTTTCTTCTGTTATCTCACCTTATTATTTTTCCTTAAAAAAAATTCGAGGCACAACTCTACTGACCGAAGTTTTCAGTTTCCATCATACTCACGAGTATGCTAGAAATAAGTCTCCACTGTTTGGTCTAAATATTTTCCTTCGATGTTATAGTGTGACGAGAAATGTTCTGCCCCGCACAGTTTTATGTTTAGGGCGTATTTCTTGATTTTAAAATCTTCTTCTTCTTGATCTAGTGGAATTCTTGGCTTATAAAGCCTGTTCCATCAGCTCTCATCCACGAACTGGTGCTAACATGTCTTAGTGGGACGACTTGTATTTATTTACCGTGTGTTTTTGTTAGTACAGTGCCATCTTTTGTAATTCTCCGCTTTTTTTAATAATCCAGGATTTTCACAACTTTTGACCTTTCTCGTATAACTGTAGTGTTTAAGAGTTACAGACTTAAACTCATTAAGCTTTAATCAACTAATGTAACGGTAAATGGGTTCTTACGAATATGACCGAAGGAAAATCCATTAATTACGAATGCATGGGGGATTTGACTGAGACCTCTTGACCGCCCTAAGGCTCTTACAGTTCGTGTGCTTGATCAGATGAGGCTTAACTGAACGACGGTTATGTTCATCTCGTGGAGTACAGAACATTCAGTCTCATCACTTGTGTTAATACTGACTTGAGATCTAGTCGCCACGCATTTAATCTTTGAGTAAATTAATCGGTCTTATATAAAAAATAGGTAAAGTATTTGTTTCTTGAAATAAACTGTACCAAAATATTATGATATTTCTTATATTACATCTTTAATAAACTTGAATCGCTTAATGCTTATAACTGCATGTATTTGAGATTTATCGTCTTCAGTGAACTTCGTAAAAGGTGTAAACAATAAGGGGATTAAGGTGCATCATGTGCAACCCTTCCCCTAGCAGTTATTAGGACTGATTTGTGAGAAACGCGGTTACTTTTTGCATTATAATTGTAGGGACTGGACATGTCTATAAGATGGATGGCGGAAACAAGAAACGAATATCGAATTTTAGTGTATACGATTGTTGGAATGACATAACTTCGAAACGACTTCGAATGATATGGAGTAACACTGTTAAGTTTGAGGCCAGGAGAAATGTTTTAATGAATCCGCAGAAGAGTTTTGAACCAGAAGTTCAAGAGCAGACAGCGTTCCAAGAAACAGCTTTTCGTAACGGATTAATGGAGAAAATTATAAAGTAAGACGTTTGCAGTTTTTGAGCTTAGATGTAAAAAAAATTTTTGGTCTGTGTCGACTGCGTTGAGATACACAGGTGTTGAAGGAGGGGTCAAGAACAAAATGGATCAAAAAGAAGTGCGTTTTTAAGGGGTGACCTGTAATTATGATTATACAGTGGCAGGGTTTTTTAACACGGCGGTGAACTTTCAGAGTAACTCCACGTATCAGAGGCTTTTTGTGAAGTTAATAAATAGAGTCTTAGTTGCTGAAAAATTCCTCATTATTGTAGCCAAAATTTAATTTTTGTATTCACAAGAGCCTGCTATTGCGCCCTACCGGAACCACATAAACCCGATTCACACCTCGCGCTCCATTTCTTAACGCCCGTCTTATATTATTTTCCCACTTGCAGTTTCCCGTGAAACATTTTGTATGTGTTTATCAAATCTTTTGTGCCATGACGCACTGGGGGTCCCTAAAAGCAGCAATTTATTACCAGAAGTTGCGCAAAGAAAATTCTGTGCCCCGAACCAGGAGTAATAATAGTGTCATGTGGTAATTTATTTATTTAGTATGTTGGTGTAATGTTGAAGACTAAAATTATGCATTTAGAACGAGTTACTTCTATAAAGTAAAAGAATTTAACGGATAGTTTTGTAAAGATAATTCCTTTGTTTATGTGTTTTCTTATTTTGTTTCATTGAGTCTTTTTCATTGTTTATTTATTTATTTCCTTGTTTATTCTCTCATTATTCCTCACACCACAATATTCTGGTACAGGCAGATACATAAAGTTTTAAGTAAAAGACTAGCAGCAATGCATCGATATTTATTGATTATATAATAATTGATTGAAAGCGTACCTTCTAATACAGTTTGACCATCTGGATAGCCAGCCGTCATACATTCTGCACAAAACGTTTTTGTTCTGTGTTGCTATGGGGCAAATGGAAATCTCGTATCATAAGTTTGTGTTAAAAAAGACGAATTGAAATATGAAGGTGATAATTGTAATTGTATTCACTACATGGAAAGATGAAAAGAACAAAACACTTTAAACGCTTTTATACTTAACCGGTAAAATTTGATTCGAAACACACTTTACTTGATAATGTTAAGGACAGGGACATCCGACACAAAAAAGGGGAGAAGCTGCCTTATTGAGTGACTGGAAACAATTTAGCTAATGATACTGTTTACTCGGGGACAGTGTAAGGTGTGGCGAGTTCACTAGCGACATCTGAGAGCGCAGTGGTAAGTGAAGGCAGTAGTAGGTGGGCGACAGAAGACAAAAGTGAGAAACACGTTAGGGCGATTTATATCATATGAATCATTGAAAAGTATGTTGCTTTGTTTGTTTCTACCAGGCTGTAAAAACTTCTGTCTCGTGATTTTGAGCGACGGGTTACATATTTCATAATCAGTAAGACACTTAGATGAGTGGACTCATCGCCCTGATGATACAGCCAATGAGAACTTCTGAAACGTCGGTGAACTTTTCTACTATACTACACGGTGCAAGAAATCAGAGGATACCCATTTTCACGAAAATTCCACTTGGGTGACTGAGAAGGAGAATCGTCTTATTAAAATAGGTTGCAGAAATCAGAGCGCAGTTGCTCAACACTGTACTTTTACAGTGTTAAAGTAGAGCCTTAGCTCCGTGTAAAGTAGTGGTTACATTGTAAGGGTTGAGGTTTTCACGCGGTGAGTACCAGATCAGACTACACGGCGCTACGACCCAGAACAGAGCCATCTTAGTGGTTACAGATACGCACCGAAATTAAATTAACCAGAAAATGTTTAGTGTCCCTAATTGTTCAGTAGTTTCGAATATGAACCAAGCGGTGGGAAATATGAACATGGCCTCTCCATTTTGTTCAGTTTGTGCACAAATCACAGAATAAAGGCCTATGTGTTGGGAGCGAGAAATAGTTAGGGGTGTTAGAACTATGGTGTAATGTATTTGCTGTCATGGATGAGTAGATATTTTCACTACGAAAAAGGGCCAAAAGCACCAAACGTGAGGTACAATTATATTGCCATGTTGGTCTTGAGGATAAACTTTTAAGTAGATGCCAAAAATTTGGAAGTTAAGTAAGTAGAAGGGATGTGAAATGTAGTGTATTGGTATTTGCATGGATGGGCTGAAGAAAACCCCACTAAAACGTCATTACGATATTTGGTCTCCGAGCCGAGATTTCAACCCACAAACCTCTAAATAGGAAGAATGCTAACCACTAGATTTCGACTTTTCGTCTGCTAATAACAGTATCACTTGGCATGTTGACATGATTATGAAGTTATGTTATTTTTGATGGAGTGGGGTATTTTTATATAATACTTTCGCAGCAGAAAGCACATTGCATGAAACTGGTAGTTATTTTGGAAGACAGTAATTAGCACGGACTCACAAGACCTCGCTTTGGCCGGCATTTGCCTGTTTCTCTGTACATTACAGCGCCAACCGTTCTAGAAGACCCCACAAACCGCAGTTTCCTGTTTTAACAAAGAATAATACTTCCACTAGGCACTCTCGAAAAGGAACAACAACGACCTTAAAAATATAGAAGCAGAACATTTAACGATTTTGGTCGGAGGGGCATTTGAAAAACTGGCATTAGGGATATTAGCGCCTTGATGAAGCTCAAAAATTACAAAGAGAGGGATTTTTATATAGGAGCCCATTCCGGGGCCATAACGAAACTTGATTGCAGGTGTAACAATAGGGTTGCACCGTAATCTTAGTGCTACTATAAGCCATAAAAATTAGTTGGAAGAAAATGCCGCGTGCGGTAATGGCTAACTAAGGCAAGGACATTTTTTCTTACGTCTAAAACATTTTACATTGAATAGCAGAAGCTATAAACTTAACGTTTGAGTTTCCCCTTGTTTGAGAACATTTTAACGTATTTTGATAGAGGTATTTGTAGCTAATATTAAGTAAGGTTTTTAGTTTGTGTTTCTTCTAGTAAAACACACTTCAGGTAGATAGAGTTTTGCGGACTGAAAAATGAGTCTGTCAGAAATCCTCTTTTAGATGTGTGTTTCAATCTTTCTTTAAAAAGCTTTGGAGTTACTTCCATTTAGATTACACTTCCTCTGATTGCGTAACTTACTGGCACTCATATTTTTCTCTAAAAGGAAAATGGAAGAAAAAAGTATGTATATTATCTTCGAAGCATTCCTGAAAGCCCTAAGTGAAAGGGATTCTTCTCGGCTGTTTCCGTTTTGATGGCAAATGAGAGGATATAATGTGTAGTATGAACATTACTTGAATGTGTATCTCATTTATTGCAGATGAAAATTGTTGTGCAATTATTCAACAGTACAGATACAGGCGTTGTGCAGAAACACGCAGCCTACAAAAAGGCTCAGTCTGATCCTTAGCCATCTTCTGAAAATCTAATTATAAAAATTAAGTGCCTTTATAAATGTTTATGTTCTGAGATATTGTGTAAGAGGGCATTGCGATCTTGACATAGCTCTGGCGGTTGATCGACGGTTTCTCGCGGCCCAGAACCGGGTTTACGCCCGGCACAGTCAATGCAGGATTTGGGGTGGACAGAGTGGCACTGGGACAGACTTTCTCCGAGTCCTTCGTTTCTCTCCCGTCATTATCATTCTACAACTGTTCCACATTCACTCGTGTGTCATCTGGAAGAAGGGCAGTTGGCCCTTTAGCAGCCGCAGCTTGACAGAGGCATGGTCTCAACAACACAAGAAAGTTTTGTAGCTGGCTGGTTGGGGCGAATATGCAAACATGTGAATTGTGTGGTATCTAAATGAAACACTGGGCATTCTGCTTAATGCGTGGGTTACAACCTTGGAAATATCAGCGGTACGACCTAGTGGCTATCACTCATTGTCCAGGTTCGGGAAGTCCCTTGTTCACATGTCGGCTGGTGACCTGTTACCATTTTTTGGTTTCTCCTGCCTTTCTTCGAAATAACGATATAGTGCCTTAAATTGTGTCAACACCGCTTCTTTCCACATATTCGTCCATTAATTATACATAAACTTTCTTCATTCGACGCTCATGTTTTGAGCTACTGGCAGCTTCTTGAAATAAATCATAAATAAATGAACATCGGAGTTTATGGTATCGTGTTCGAATTAATTATTAATAATACTGAGATTGTGTATTATCCTATTATGCCTATTCATAAAATGTGTTCAGTTGGTGCGAACAATTGATATCTTGCTAATAACTGTTTTAAGAGCACATTTTTTCCAGCAAAGTTCTCCGGACCGTGGCCAATTGAAAATTATTCCACCGGCTGTCGAGTTAAAATAATTTTCTGCACCTGGCATGTAGCAGTAAATCCTGTAGTTTACGAAGCTACAGCAATTCCCAGAGACGTATCATTTGCACTGCGTCTGTCTACGTATGTACCATAATAATACGCATTAAAATATCCAATAAATTCTCAGAACTTAATAGTATCCGTAATTTATATGATGTGAAAATTTTTATGCGTTTTTATACAAAGTGTATGAAGTGAATGCATGATGGTGATGTGTCCTTTATTTTCATCTACATGTGCTACCTTCTGTACTATAGGCCAGAGTTATACTATATTTTGCATTGAAGGTTTACACTGAAAATTGTGAATGTACGAATAATTCATTTTAGGTTTGTATCGATGAAATATTAACTCCACTGTCCAGTTAAGATCAAATTAGAATTACTTGATAATCTTAGAAAAGCTTATTGCAGAGCTAAAACAGGTCATCAACTGTTTCTCATCAGATTGTAATTTAAATAAATACAAGTAAAAATATCTTTCTCTGTTTAATATCTCTACATACAACACTAGATTTGTAAAGCAACCGAATGAATTATCTGTGTTCATTTGTGTTTTATACGTGTTGTTGAAAAATATGCGTTGTTAAATGCTATAGTTGTTTTTCATGTTTTAAGTAACTCTTATTGATGATGAAAATGAATAAAATGAATAAGATTGAATGCATTGGTATATCTTATAATATAAAATCCAGATTTATGACTAGTTCGTGCAAATGGTGATAATACAGGTGTCCCAAAAAGTTGTGTATACACACATTCAGCGAATGAAATAGATATTTTAATAAATTAAACCATTACGTATGTCAGCATTGACACGTAGTGAATTAGCAGATCTAGTGTAGGTGTTCAAAATGATCACCGTTAGTTTCGTGGCACTGTTGGCAGCGGTGATCACCTGACTGACAAACGGCCAAGAAAGTTTCTGCTGTGTATAAATGTTTTTGGGACACTACATATATAGCAGCGAGGAGATATATTAAATATGGAAGTCGTGGCATTAGATTTACGCGAATGGATTTCGAATTTTAAGAATAAGCCGCGTCGAATGTTTTAAGTTTCTCGACGTTTCGGCCAACGTTGCGTGTGCCATCTTCAGGGTGAATATTTATTGGGCGTTACTGGCTATACAGTCGCGGGGTGATATTCAATCGGTAGCGAGCACGTGGTTGGGGAAAAGGTTTGACAAAAGAGATTTTACATTTAGTAACAATGTGAGTGGAAAAAGAGGTGATTAAAATGTTTTAGCGGCCACGTGGAAAGAAGAGGTGGCAGAGAAAAGTGACTTCCTAAATTTGAATACATTTACACTCAAGGTATCAGTCGCCCTGATGATGGAGGCAGCAAGCACCTCTGAAACCTCTGTAAACTTTTACCACCCTACAAGGCGCAACATCCCGGAAGACAAGTCTTCATACTCGCTACCGCAAAAACCTAAAATGTCAGCTACTAAAAATTATGTCACGGAATCAAAATTATTATTTATTTGCACATGTCGTATAACCAAAGGTCGGATAATCAGGGCTCTTCTGTACTTAATTTGAATATATTGAACTATATATCAGTGTTCCGTGACATAGAAACCACTGAGTAACACTGTTCTGGCTTGGGTCTTGGTGGCCTTGTCCACGAACGTGCGTTTTAATGATCACCAGCGAAGTTATTTTTCTTTTAAGTTTCCACGGCTGTTAACAGCTACATGGGGATCCATTTTATAATGGGAAGTAAGTTTGATGTACTCCTTTTTGGAGTAAGAAGAGAGAGGCGTTGAAAGTCTTCCAGTAGTTAAGAATAAAAATGTGTTTGTAGAGGACAGTGTTGGTAGTCAAGTCACTTCTCAGCTTCGGGTTCGACCGCGCGGCTCTTTTTATGTAAATATTGAAAGAGTTTTGAGGAGAAAATATCTGAAGGAGGGATATGAAGACGAAGGAGGGGCGAAGCTACCAGGAAACAGTTGTTATATGTATGCATCCCCACCATGACCATTTAAAGCATCACCCACACGCTAATGTGATTTCATTCTAGGTGGTCTCTGCCCTCCCTGGGTACCTACTGTAACAAAAAGAGACATATTTTTCTTCTCCTCTTTGAACACCAAAACATTTACACTTGCTTTCCTCTGTCCATCTATGCCGGTAATTTACACTGTTAATTGCTCTGTACAGGCTGGTCAGATACAAAATAAGTCTTTTCACTTATGTCACGAAATAAGAGACGAAGGCGACATTTTATGTGCTTCTACTTACTTAACCCTGTGTTAAGAAACGGAACTTTGGTACGGTAAATAAAATTACCATGTTGTAGATCAGCTTCTTTGTCAACATTTTAGGGATCATAAATTCACACTAAAAAAGAAATGTGTCCACTCTTTTCAAGAGTAGGTTAATGCAGTGGTCGCTCAAGTCCTTGCTGAGGTTTTTCTTCGTCTCCAGGAGAGTGGCTGAACAAGCTGTTTAACGGTGATTCTGTGAAATGCGCGACACGAACTGCTTCGATTGAATTTTGAGCACCTTTGCACATGTACTGTCACTTGACCTCATGAGCCAATCAGCTTCAGTTACTAACTGTTCGTTTGATCGGATAGTAGTACTGTTCATTTTACAAGTGAATGTTGTATTTATGGTATATTGTGTAAATATCGTGTTTGTGCGAAGCAAATTGTTAGTGTCCAGCGTTAGATACGCGATCGGTGGAAGATTATGGTCGCAGGCGTTAGGTTCTACGCAGGCAGACCTGATTTATAAAGTATTAAATTGCTTCAAGCGTGTTGCAAATGCTGGAATGTTAGCCTACGACGTTGTCATTGAACAGAGCCTATTCATAGCCATTTCTCTTTGCGCCACCCGCCATCTTTCGTGTCGGACATTATATAGTTGGTAAGATTTCAGGTTCTGACGGCGGCGAATAAGAAGATAGCTGAAGTTTGCTGTCTTCTGGATTGTTGCGCCTTGTAGAATGGTAGATGTTTACTGCCTCCGTCATCAGGGCGATGAATATGCCAATTGACGGAGGTATTGTGACCTCTGAAACGTCGGTTAACATCGACCAGACTACACGGCACAACAACCCAGAAGACAGAAAGCTTCATACTCACCACTGTGAAAACCTCAAATCTTACAAGAAGATAGCTGTTTACAGGATTGTTGTGTCGTGTAGACTGGTAGACGTTTACCGACTTTTCAGAGGTGCTTGCTGCCTCCATAATGCACTACACGGCGCAACAACCAAAAAGGCAGCTAACTTCATACTCTTCACGCTGATAACCTGAAATCTCATATTGAGTGAGAATAGTTAGGCCCAGTCAAGACCTTCATAATTTGTACTTTTCATGAAATTAGTATATACCTAGGACACAGCATCTTATCCAGAAAACATTAAACGAATAAGCAACTTGGGCGACGTAAATAAGAAGATAATATTAAAATTTAAGGAAAAATATGGCAAGATTTAACCGGTACTCCT